GAGGCTGAATTTAAAAGGTGCCTAATTACTGAGTTAATTATAACAGGCAAAAAATATGTACTGGTTATATAAATAAGCTATTGTTACGCATATATGAGGCAGGCTATTTTGGAAACCACAGCTTAATGATGTTGCGGTTAGGGTAATAAAAATTAAAGGAGAGGGAAAAAATGGGAGGGGGAAGGTGAAATAAGCAGTAAGGTTTGGTTTGCTAAGGACATGTGCCTTTTCACACTCTGCTTCTTCTCCTGTGAAATGGAGCCCTGGAAAGAGAGTTGAAGCCACCAAGTCCTCAATCTCGATCTCAGCCTCTCCTCCCCTCCCCTCCCATCTTCCCTCCCCAAGCAAAGAGGTGAAACCAGAGCAGGCAGGATTGCCAGTGCAGGAAAGGTATAAAGGGACGGCCACCTGCCTCTCAGGTGCTGGCTCCAAGAGAGCTTCAGGACACAGCACCATGCCTGGTCAGAAGAAGTCCACGGGGAATGGTGACTTGGAGATTAAAGCCAAGGTGAGGGGATTTGTCAGTTAGCAGAGGTCCCATTCTGTCTGCCTTCCCCATTTTTTTTGGAGACAACTGAAACTTTAACCTCGGAGCATCCCTCTCTCAGCCACAGTTTCTCCGCACTCCGGGCAGTAGTGGCTGGTGGATGGAATTGGCCTTCACCATTTGCCTCGGGGTAGATGGATGGTTCCGTTGGTGGGAGCAGTGGGCTCCGGTGGCAAGAGGTGCAGAATTCAACCTCAGTTGGTCCTCATGGAACAGGGTCTTGGGGTTGATGGATGACGTGTCCTTTTGGCAAATTGAGTGTCTTAATCTTCATAGCAGTGAGGCCTGCCACATGGCAGGAGAACCAGGTTTGGAAGTTGCTTTACTGGACATAGAAGTCACCATGCAAGAATCAGGTTGCTCCATGGGACAACCTGTCCTGAGGTAGTGAATGTCTTAGCTCACTGGTAACTCTGACAGAGGCTGTGATTGTCAAGTTCTGATGTTTAGACAAGTTTCTTTTAGGAGGACAAACTGAGGAGTTATCTTAGATCTGAACCTGCTGAATAAAACTTCAGAAACGGAACTGTACAGTATTTCGAATTAAAAATGGTTGGGTTTTTGCTGTACTGCCAGGAACTTTCACCAGATAAGTACCTCAAGCTCACGTTTCAGAGCTTTTGTTCTATCTTACGCTCATCAAGGCATTAGAGCAGTGTTTCTCAACCTGGGCCACTTTAAGATGTGTGGACTTCAACTCCCAGAATGCTGGCTGGGGAATTCTGGGAGT